AAATACCTTAGTAAGGAAAAAAGAGTACATCACATATTTTGCTCTCCCTGATGAAAATTTTGTTTCAAATATTTGAGTGTCTGCATTCTAATCTTGTATATTATATTCTCAAAAATTTGAAGTTGGTAAAGATTTAGTGAATAAATCTGTTGGATTGTCACTTGAACGGATTTATCGCACATCGATATTATCATTCTTTTGAAGATCATGTGTAAAGAATAACTTTGGTAAAATGTGTTTCGCTCTATCTCCTCTTATGAATCCTCCCTTTAATTGGCTTATGCATGTAGCATTGTCTTCGTATAATATTGTGGTTTTTTAATCACATTCCAACCCACATTTTTTTTGAATAAAATGAATCACTGATCTCAACCATACGCATTCCCTACTTGCTTCATAAATAGCTATTATCTCATCATGATTTGAAGAAGTAGTAACAATAGATTGCTTTGTGGAGCATCATGACAATACCTCCACATATAAACACATACCTGATTTGAGATCGAGCTTTATTGAGATCGGATAAATAACTTGCATTTTCATAACCATAGGATCTGCACCACCTTTGTTAGCATTAGCAAGATACATAAGTGCACCAACTACACTAAGATAGGGTACTTAAGGACCAAGGAGTTCCTCATCCTCTTCTGGAGGTCGGAACGGATCCTTATTCACTTCAAGTGATCAAACACACATTGGTGTACTTAATATGTACACTTTGTCCATATAAAAGTATTTAAAGACCCTTTCTGTATAGGCAGATTGATGGATAAAGATCCCGTGTGCTAAATATTCAATTTGCAGTTCAAGACAAAATTTTATTTTTCCAAGATCTTTCATCTTAAATTCTTTCTTAAGATATTCAATTGCCTTTTGGAGCTCTTATAGCGTTGCAACAAGATTTATGTTATCAACATATATAGCAAGTATAACGAATTTTGAGGCCATTTTCTTTATAAATATACATGGACAAATAACATCATTTATGTAACCTTCTTTCAGCAAATATTCATTGAGGCTATTATATCACATGCGCCCAGATTGATTTAAACCGTACAAATATCTTTGTAATTTGATCGAGTACATTTCTTGAGACTTTGAATTATATGCTTCAAGCATTTTAAATCCTTTAGGGATCTTCATATGGATTTAATCAAATGAGTCATACAGGTTATAACTTGCATTTAAATGGCATTACATTTTCAGGTGTCTGGACTACAGGTCCGATCGTCATAATCTTTTACAATATTGTACATAATATTATATCGAATATATTGTTGGCGTTCATTTTGTATCGGTTCCTAAGTGACATAACTTATTGAGATCTTGATAAGTGAGAATTTTGACTGCTTATTAGTGCTTTTTAGCTTTTATTTTAGTCCAAAAGCATTGAATTGTGTTCCCAAAACTAATAAAATTGTGCAAAATTGCAGGAATACTGGAAGTTGGTCTCCCGAGATAAAATCCGTCTCAAAAAGGAGTATTCCGAAGCATAAGGCAATAAAGGGCGCAAAAGTATAAATGTGCAGTCCGTAGAAGGAATTCTGCAACCGTAGAAGAAATTACGGATCGCAGAAATCCATCTGCGGCCGTAAACCAAGAGGAAGAGTTTAGCAGAACTTTGTGCAAAATGCAAACTGCACATGAATTGTGCGGTCGCAAAGCTGGGCTAGGAGTCAAAGATCAGAGAGTGTGCAAAAAGGCCAAGTCCAGGAGCATCTGTGAATTACTGACCGCACAAGAGTTGCCTTGCGGTCGCGGTCCTGAAATGTGCAGTCGCAGAAGATTGCCTCGCGGCCGCAGTTCAAAAATGTGCGGCCACAGAATTCTACTTCCTGCTAGATGAAGAATATGCGGATCGCACATGAAATTGTGCGGCCGTAGAACCTCCCGATGGATATTTTTGTCCGAGATTTTTAGTCTTGTATAAATAGACGAGTTTCACAAAATTAGGTCAAGTTTTGAACCTCTAAAGTTGGTGTAGCCATTTTTCCTTACTACTTTAGGAAGTTTTACATTACTTTGGTATATTTACATTAGATTTACTCATTTTAAACTTCCATTATGAGTTTAATTAGTTTTTCTTCCCTATCTTCTTCAAACTCCATTATGAGTAGCTAGACTTTTACTAGGGTTGTGACCCAACCCTAGCGTGTAAACTTTATGAAAATCTAATTCAGTTCTTGTTTATGATTGAGTGTTGATTATTTAGCTTAGTTCATGCTTTAATTGTAGAATTAATAGTTTCAAACATTAATTCATACCTACTTGACTTAGTCTCTACTTGAGAAAGAGGGACATAGTCTAGGATAACTTAGCTAACAAAGAATTGGAGGAATTGAGAGATTGATTAACCCAATTGAAAGGTTCAACCTAGATATAGTAATAACCCGACTTGAGCTCTTATCAACTATTTTGGGTGATACCCATTTGGTCTTGGAAAGCCAAATTGTGCAAAACCATTTTCTGACCGAGAGGTATTGAGTGGGTAATTTAGAGTTGAGAGCTATAATACACCCCAATCAACAAAACAAGATTTAAAGTCTTTATTCCATTAGGCAAACACCTAGGTCATGGTCACAGCCCTAGGCTTTTTATCCATTTGGAAAAACCTTAAAAACAATTATCTCATGTATGTTTTCTTTATTTTGCAATCATTAGATTAACATTAGAAATAGAAACAAATCCTTGTTGTGGAAGTGCAATCAAGATAATCCAATTGCTCATTTGAAATATATACCCCTAACTCCCATCCTAACTCCCTGTGGATTCAACCTCGACTCCTATTTAGGTATCTATTATTGCATTCGACCTGGATAATTTCATTCCTCTGTCTTCTTTTGATAAAACATGTCATTACTCCCTTGGAAATACTCAGTTATTGTTAAAGTATTTGGGCTCAAAGTAGGACACCAATTACTCAAACAAAAAATATTTGCACAATGAAAACCTACCGAGGAAGTTCCCTTAATTGACTTGGGTTCTGATTTTTTTCTGCTAAAATTCCAAAAAGAATATCACATGCTCTACATGATGGGCAGTGGTTTATTTTAAATCACTTTCTATCTGTTAGATGATAGGAGCCAAAATTCCTCGCATCTATGGCTCAACTAACTTATTCTGCAAATTGGATTTGTCTGCCTGAACTTCCTACTGAGTTTTACGACTTAGACATCCTCCAAAAATTGGGAAACAAGGAGGGTAAACTCCTTAAGATTGATGCATGCACTTCTATCACTACTAGAGGACGCTATGACAGAATCTGTGTAGAAGTGCCTCTCGATAAAATATTAAAAACCCATATTTATATTGGCACCCATAAGCAAATTATCCTATATGAAGGCCTCAATTTACTTTGCATTAATTGTGGTCGACTGGGTCACAATAATAAAAACTGCACCTATCTTCTTCACCCTCAAGCTTCAGACAAAGCTCCCATAAATCCCTAACTCCGTGACACCATAGTCCATACCAATGAAGTGAGCTCTACGACTCCTATAGATCATAAGTGGGAAACAATCACTTTTCCGCAAAAATCGACATCAAAATTTCCTATGCAGAAGCAGATTCTCATTGGTGAGTCTTCAGGAAACGCAGCTCAGCCGCATTCTCGAAGGGCGGTGCAAAATCAAGCCCTAGGTAAGTTCTCTAACCCTAAACCACCTTCCATTCAAACAACTCTAAGTAGCAGTAATTGATAATAATACCCCTAAAAATATTACACATAGAAATATGTACGCTGAATTTATTGAGGATGAACCTTGTTCCACTAATCTAGAAGTTATGCCTCATTTGGGTCAGCCCAATATTAGCTCCATTCTTGCACCTCTTGTTCCAACACATGCACACCTCCCTAGCCCAGCCCATACACGACCNCCCCCCTCCCCCCCACTCAAACGATCTGTCTCACTCTACTACAACTCAAGCCCACATACCAACTCCATCGTGTATTGGCCTCCCTTCATATGACAATTCCCAAAGCCCACTAAAAAGCTCACCGACTAATCCAACCACTCCTGTGTCTACAAAATCTACTCCATCGCATTCACAGTCACAGACAATTCCCATACATTAGAATCTACTAGTACTCAAATACATCATGCCATGCTTTCCTCCTCCATATCTCCATAGACGAAATACACGCTTAAGAGACCAAACTCCTCTCCAAGCCCTCATCCGTCGTCTCATCCCCTAGTGATGAATCCAAACTCCCGCTTCTTCACAGCCCAAACTACCCATTCATCAACAGACCCGAGCTCCTGGCTGAAACTGGGTCTCCAAGACCATGCACTAATCTTCACATTGAACATGAACAACCAGGAAGTCACCATTCTACTGAACAATCCATCCGACCTTGCTCAAATAGTGACGGAAGGCATGAGCTTGGCGACGTACATTATGGCCAGTACCATTGGTGAGTGGTGCCACACACCAATCTCGCTCCATATAATACTTTAACTCCACCTACACAATATTGGGACATTGCCCTATCAATACCCCTATATGATCAATCTACCGTTCTACCCTCGAACTCCAGTAATCCCTCATACTCGTTGGATCCAAACATATGTCCTCCCACTACCACTAAAAAAATAATTAAATTGCAGCAGTTATTTTTACAAATTGCAGCAGTCGGTAACTCCCGCAATTTGTTGTTGCAGCGGTTCACAAAACTGCTGCAAGAAGGCTCACCACAATCAATTTACTGGAGTTCTGTCGCGACCGCTACCACGACTGCCGTAATTAATTAGCAGGAGTTATTTTGCGGCAGTTCAATCCCCGTAAATTGATTATTAAATTATAAAACAAAATTATATTTTTTTACAAGTTCGGCCAGTCAAAACCCACACAATTCATTGAACATATTAATTTCTTTTACTGCATTTTTTACAAATATTGAACTTTGAATATTGTCTACTAATAAACCTGTCCACACCATAATCTAACCAAAAAAGATAATATATATATATATATCAACACTTATTAGAAATATCAACATATTTAGCATCACAAAAGTATTACTTTCATATATAAATGATGGGGCTACAAAAATGCTCAAAGCAGATTTAGCAATGTTTCTAGCTGCATACAGTAGCGCCAAACTAAATTTTAACATAAAACATTCACCCTAGCCATTCTAACATCCGCTCCAATCACATAATTACATTGTCATAATTAATTATCTAATTCAATTATAAAGAACTTCAATTGTTGTCACTTGGATTACTGCCATCAGATGTTCTTCTTGCGCCCATGGGTGACAGGGATCCACTAGCTGCATCTCTAGGCTGCAAACAAAATAAATCAATAAGGTCTTTTGAATGCTAATTATAACTTGAGTTATAAACCATGAAAATTTCAAATACGGACACATGAATTTCTATAAACCATGAATATGGTACTTCCCAGTCCATACAGTACTAGTTAACGAGCAATTTTTCTACTCATTTTCTCACGCCGATTGGGACTTGTTAAAAGAAACTGGAAAAATGCTGATGCAACATAGAAAATAACCTTTCAAATGAATAACTTAAATGAGCTCACCTACTACTAGATGTTCAGAAATCAAGTGTCAGATTCCAGTATAACTCTTGAAAAAATGAAGGCCAGTTAAAGGAACATTGAGTTGCAGAATGGATCAATGGAATGATTCAACAAATTCTTACCGGTTAATAAACCTTATCCACCTTTTATCTAACCTCCACGCATGCACATTTCATTTTCTTGATAGAGGCAACTGGTGCTACTACTTAACAAGGTAACCCAAATTCACTTATAAATTGGATTGAGGAGCTAAGATCAGGCGTTATACAGACAATAGGAACTCATGCAGTAGAAAGCTCACAGCAGCAAGAATGTGAACACTTAAGCTCACAGGCATTATACGTTTTGCCTCGTATTAAGCAATATGTTCTCTCTCACTTTAAATATTACATGTAGTGGTCCTTAACAACAAATGAGCAGATCCCAACTGCCAATATAGAAATCTAGTTAAAACATATTTGTTCAACTTACCAACTTTCTGGCCATATTTGAGTTCTTAAGTAAAACCCTACATAAATAGACTTCTTAAGAAAATTGATAAAACAACAGCAAGACAAGTAACTTTCTCAAAGAGAAGAAGAGGACTTTTCAAGAAAGCTGAAGAACTTTCTGTTCCTTGTGATGCTGATGTTGCTATATACATATATTAGATTTCATACCCATAAAGGAGAAATAACCTTCAACAATCACAAAAATAAAGAAGAAACTTACACATATCTCCTTTGCCACCTCATTCACATATGTTCCATCTTGTTTCTTATAAGTATCAAGATAAAGTTGTGAGCGTCCAGGCCTTCGTCCAGTCTCAGCCATCTATAAATAAAATAACCAATAAAATAACTTAACTTGAAAGTCAATCACACAAATAACTAAATATAATCAAACATACAAGTTGAAGTAATTAAATAAATACCAAAGTTGTTTCTTTAAAATGGTAATCAATAAATGTAGTCCATGATCCCGTGAAATCCCAGCCGGAATATTTTCCATAATCTGAGCTTTACTTTTGAGTGGATCATAGAATGCTCTCCACAAGTTTAGCCTATTCGCGCTCCACTTTTTTCAAATAGAATTATAAACATAACGTCGTGCAACTGACTCGACTGTCTTAAAACAAAACCATTTCTTCAAGAATAAAACATTGGTTAGCATATCTGCTACATGCAAATATGAAGTCCAACAATAAAATAGACGTATAGCAGAAAGAATTAGAGCTTATACCTTTACAATTCGATCAAATACATGGTCAAAGTATGATATAGGTAAATCTGACCATTTCTCAAAGTGAATTGGAAATAAGGAGCAGCCAGTTGCTAAAATTCCACAAAAGCCAGCAATAAGGCCTTGTGCTTCTCCAAATGGTTCGTCTAGGTAATCAAATTCAAGCACGATACGTTCTTCACCAGATAAATTTAGAACATACCTAACTTTCACTTTGAGCGTCTTCCTATTTTCTTTCGAATCTTTAAAAAAAAAAACAAGTTTAGACAAACAGAAAAAATAATTACATATATATATATATATGCTACTTTACAGTAGTACTAGTGTTGTGGAAAGTTCAAAGAGAGAAATCCCATCTACAAACAGCAACTCTGACATAAACGTAAATTAATGTTATCCAAATAGCTCTAGTAAGTTTTACACATACAAATGCCCTGAGAACGTGAAGCTATTCCGCTAGCCATATCAGAACTATTCAAGTTAATTAATACCGAAAAAAAGAGAGAAAGACAGAAATACTTATATTGACACTGCAAAAATTACTTATATTGCATGTTTCAAATTTCCAGTAGTGGTACGATGTAATAATACCTTATGATCATTCATCACTGTTAAATATGGTACAGAATGAATGGCTGGGTCTGATGCATTAAGAGGGAAGAAAAACAGGACATGTTTACTCTGATTTGGTAGTAATCCAGCTTTGTTGTTGCCTGAACTGACGAACCGAACTGTGATGGAACAGATGAAGCCGGCTTTGTTGCTGCTTGAACTGACGGGGCTGGCTGTGCATTCCCCTGAATTGACTTTTGCAAGTTCTGCCAACGCTTGGTCTTCGGCATACCTGTAATTAACAAAAGATAAGCAAATTAAATAAATGTTGATATAAACTAATCGAAACTTCCATTCAGATTAAGTGATACAAACAAAACTCTTAATATGATATAGATTCATGTCAAACCAACTTACAATAACAGAAATGCCTAATGATATATCAAGACTCACTTACTTGCATATATTAAAGATATTCATACAAGTTATAACGGCAAACTATGTTATTTAAGATTAAATCAAATGAACCATCTCGTGCATAATTTAATGCAACAGTTTTTCTTCAGCTATAAGTAATGGATCATGAATCAAATGAGCCGTTTTCTTCAGGTCTGAATTTTGAACTACCATAACTTAAATTTTATACCTGAAAGTCTGAAGTTAGGGTCTGTTAGAGGCTACTTCCGCCTGCAGGTCTAAATTTGAACTGTGTTCAAACTTTAGACTCGAAGGTCTGAAGTTTGATTCAGAGGCGACTACACTTTAAGAACTTTAAATAGTGATCTAAAAATTGCTATGTTTACACTTGTCCCTTGGTATGGTCATGTTATAAATAGTAAGTAAAACCAAGAAGCTATCAATAGCTTGGACACTTTGCATCAGATCAATTAAAGATTTATCTAGCACCAAAGAAGAAATACTTGTCGACTTGATTCCCATAGTATCAACAAAAAAATTCATTCTTACTACTCTATATGTAAAGAAATTATAAGAATATTCCCGCTATGTATGACTCTTTATGGAAATCCTTAACATCCTCGGAAAAGAGGGGGATTCTTTTTGGACAGTTGTTAGAATAAATGTTTGCTAAGCAACATTGTCCCCAAATCAGTAATCTAAGCAACAAAATGATCCAGGGGAGAAAGAGTCTTGCACGCAGTGGTAATTAAACATCCCACTGTATCTAAGGAATACTTAAAGTAAAGAAAAGATGATACTGCACATGCCATGCCAAAAATTAGGCATACCAGTGCAGTAATTAAAGAAATAATGGAGAAAAAGCTAACCAAAACTGAAAAATACAGCAACAAATCAATTTTTTTTACTGAAAAACACAGCGACAGAACATGAAAGAAGCGACAGAATACGACACGTTCTTCATGGTTCCATCTTTGGAAAAACTTTTGGAGAGCAAGATATGCCAGCCTCTTTACAGGGTGGAGGTTCATTTGACATTGCAAAGGAGTGGTAAAACATGTTAGAGGCCTCGGATCGAGGAAAGATTGCCCGATTGGAGATGTTTTATCGTAGTATGCTAGCATGTGTCAAATATAAGCTGTTGAAAAAACGGATTCAGGAGATCTTTTTGGAGTGTCAGAGTCCTCTGCCTTCAGAATCTAGTCAACGAAACAAGTAATGCAGAATGCTTGGGTTTCAAATTAAATACAAAATGTTTCATAGATACTTTACTTATCAAAATAATGATATGTAAAACAAAGAGATGGAAAGTAGTTCTCAATTATAGATGAACCTCTTAAGGATTTTAATCAGTTAACTTAAAGTGAGGTGGTTTTGTTGGTATAATTTCAATGTCTTGGCTCTTTCACATTTCAGTATAGAGAGAACTGGGTTACCTATTTTAGCCGTCTACCTTGGAGCAGCAAAACGAGTAAGCTACAAGTTTGAATCTAGCTATATGCTTAAATCCAATCCATTTTCACCTTGGAGGTGGTTTTGTTGGTATAATTTCAATGTCTTGGCTCTTTCACATTTCAGTATAGAGAGAACTGGGTTAGCTATTTTAGCCGTCTACCTTGGAGCAGCAAAACGAGTAAGCTACAAGTTTGAATCTAGATATATGCTTAAATCCAATCCATTTTCACCTTGGAGCAACCAAAATGAGTTCTACACTGCATAAAAGGGGACATTGGCTTATGGTATAAACTATTGTAGAAGGAAGAACTGACGGAAAGACGAAGTAGTAATGTGTTCTTAAAGTACTATTGAGGCAATAAAACAGATTGCATGCCAGAAAATTCTAGGTTTATTGAGAAATCAAGCTAATAAATTGCCTATAATCAACATAGAAACTCCAAATCAACCAAAAAACTCCAAATAAATAGAGAAACCTCAAATCCAACAGAGAATACCCAAAATAACACAAAAATAAAGTGAAAACCTACATGTAATTTACAAAATACAAAAATACCTGGTTACACAAAATCGGAATTGGAGAAGATGAAAGACAAATTGCAAATAAACTGAAGAAGAACACCGTGGACTTTCTATCCAAAAATCCACACTAGGACTGAAGAACACCGGTAACAAACTTTGTTGAAAAACACAAACAGTCGCATTAGTAAAAAGAAATTGTCGTATCTCCTTAAGAAGGCATTTGCCTGCAGAGGTCGATTCTCAGTCCAATTTGGTGAGAGAGAGAGGCAGTCGCTTGGAAACTAGAGAGAGAGAGTGAGAGAGACGGCAAAAGGTTTTGGTCTAAAGGTTTTGGGCCTAAAAGGTTTTGGCGGAGAAAAAAATGAGGGAAAACAAAAATATAATGGGAAAAATTAGAAGCTTGGGGCTCTTTTGCTTTTAATGCAGCAGATCCCCAAATTATAATTAATTGCCTCAGTTAGAGATAAAGTCCCACAATTTGATACAATTTGCGGCAGGTGACCGCCGCTAATTAACTGTCACAATTTGAATGATTTTTTGTAGTGTACTGCCTCTGCTTCCCAACTCTCCGACGGGACCACACGATTTGATAAATTAGTCTCCGAAAAACTCTCCATCCCACTATCCTAATCAAAACTCACCAAACAAAATAGTTCATAAGGAGATTGCTCAAGCCATGGTCAACTTCAGGAAAACAAGGCCAGAACCAATTTGGCTAAGTGAGATCAAAGTCTTAGTCCTTAAAGACAAGTACACAAAAAGGTTTATTCTCAATTGTCCTCCAACCATGCACCGTTGCTCCCTCCTACTAAGGCCAACCATAAAAACCGATGTAGGGAACTATGCCCTAGTAATCACTCCCTCCCTCCGCCTACAACTAGCACAACCCAACGACCATAACCTGACCATATAGGACGTTCCATCTCCACCCCCAACAATAATTATATGAATTTCATGGTTTGGAATTGTAAGTACGCTCAGTCGCCTGACCTTCGTCGTAATTTTCAATCCATAATCACATGTCTGTCGTCCCTCACTGGTAGTACTAGTAGAAACCCGCGTAACAGACCGCGACCACATTAGGGATGACTTTAACTTCACCAACATAGTTGAAGTGCCCGTTGAGGGGCACGTGGGTGGTATTGTTATTTTCTGGTACCAAAATATTCTTACTGTGGATACCATTGCAATGACCCAACAGGAGATACACTACATGATCCAGGTAATTTTCCAAGCTCATAAATGAATATTGTCTGTTATTTATGCAAGCCCACACTCGTACAACCGCACTACATTATGGAAAAATGTTCGTTGCATTTTTGATAATTATAAAGGACCTTGGCTACTTGCAGGCGATTTCAATGAAATAATACATAGTTCTGAAAAAATTGGAGGCTGAATTATTAATTTAAATAGATCTCAATTTCTTTTAAATTGCATAAATTATTGTAACCTTCTTGATTTAGGATTCAAAGACAGTCGTTACACATGGACAAATAAGCAACATCATGGTTTCACTATTCTTGAGCGTCTAGATCGATGCCTAGCAAACTACGTTTGGAATGTCTTGTTCCCCGGCTCTCTAGTCACCCACCTTCCTCGAACTCATTCAAACCATTTCCCGTTACTATTGAATTTATGAGGGCATACTACACCTGCTACCAAGCCATTTCGCTTTGGAATAATTTGGACATCCCATCCTGATTTTCGTCCAAATGATTACAAGCACATGGCAAAATCAAGTAGACCTATTGTCTTCTACAAAATATTTCATGCACACAGAAACTTCTTGGAATCACCATAGTTTTGAAAATATTTTCAAAAGAAACAAAAACTCCTCGCTCGATTAACGGGCCTCCAGTCCTCCATACACTATTCCACTAGTACCTTTTTGCAAATTTTAGAACAAGATCTCCTACTGGAATACAATACAATTCTTAAATTAGAAGAAGATTTGTGAAAATTAAAATCTCGTATTAATTAATTAAACGAGAGTGACGCCAATACAAAATTTTTTTACTTATCAACTTTAATCCATCGAAGATGTAATTGCATTACTGCTCTCCAAGTTCAAGCGGGAAATTTGTGCTATAATATTCCCATAATCAAATCTAAATTCATCGACTTTTTCTTTACCTTATTCACTACTGAATCCACTCTTTCCTTGAAATCTTTTCCAATTTCTCAATACCACGTCTTACCCTCGCAAGAAGCCTCCATCATTGCCAAGTCACTTGATGGCATTGAAATAACTCAAGGTATTAATTCTTTTAAAATTTTAAAATCTCGTGGCATGGATGAGTTCCACCCTTTCTTCTAACAAGAATATTGGTCTATTATTTCCTACTTAGTCATCACATTTTGCAAATATGGTTTTACCGGGGGATGCATCCCAGAAGAGATAAATAACACTTATTTATGCATTATTCCTAAAAATGCAATGCAACTCAGCTTACTCATTTTATACCCATTAGTCTTTGCAACACTATTTACAAGATTATTACAAAAATTATTGTGAATCGCATCAAGACCTACATATCTAATATCATCATCCCAACTCAATCTAGCTTTTTACAAGGTCGCAGGGCTTCTGATAGTGTTATAGTAATTGATCTCACCCAAACTTACACCACAAATAGTTAGTGAGTCAGTCGAAGTAATAATAAAACCCAACGAGTCGGGGTTGATTCCTCAGGGAGTTAGAAATGGGATTAGGTATACACTTAGTGTAATTGTATAATATGCCTAAATTTGCACTTCCACATTCCTGTTGGTTGTTTCTATATCTAATTTAAACTATCGATTCAAATTAATAAACTAGAAGACAATATTTTCGGTTTTGGGTGTTTTTCAAATGATAAAGGATCTAGGGTCGTGACTTCCACCTAGGTGGCTACCTAACGGATTGTAAACTATTGGATAAACTATAGGGCAAGAAGAAATTAAAATAGAATGCATAATAATTGATTAGACAAAGAATATCTAATGTTTAAAAGTTAATCTAGTACAAAATTACTCAAAGAAGTAAAGAAAATGGCTCAGGTGCACCTCTGCAAACTAAACTTGACCTAAAAATGGCAAAAAGTTCTATTTATACTAAGCTAAAAATATCTGACAAAAATGCCCATGTGAAGGTTGTGCGGCCACATAATTCTAGTGCGGTCCGCACAATGGGCTTCTGCGGCCGCACAATTATCGTGTAGTCCGCATTTTTGGGAATTTGGGCTTGGAATTCCAGGGCTTTTGTCATCCGCATGAAAATGAGTGCGGCCGCACTCTCTGCTTTAGGACTTGAAATAGCTCTCTAATTCTTCAAATCTGCAGACCGCATAATTATGACTGCGGCTACATTTGACCTCCTGCGGCCGCACAATTTCAGTGTCGTTCGCACTCCTTGAGCTGGCCAAAATACTACTCTCTGAATCTCCCTTCTACGGCCATACTAGAATTGTGCGGTTCGCACTACTAGCCTTTTTGCCCTGTTTTGGTTCTTGTTCACTTTTGACTCTTTTATGAATTGATTTTGACTTCTTTGGCTCGTTTTCCAATATTCCTGCAAGTAAGCACATTTCGTTACATTCCGGAAATACATTTAAGCATTTTTGGGTAAAACGCAAGTAAAAGAGAGCTAATAAGCGGTCAAAATCCCTACCTATCAACTCCCCCAAACTTAAACTTTTGCTTTTCCTCAAGCAAATAAGGCAATTCCCACCTCCATTAGAAAAAGGGATATTTCAGCTAGCCTAAGGTGAATCAATTACACATCAATTGGGACCAACAATTACCCACAATACATATGAATTATTAACAACGCAATGATTTGACTTTTTGAGTACAATAGTTCTAGTGTGGCACTAGAGCATCAAGAGTTTACTCTATGTAACTGTAAGCACGTGATTTTTGCTTCACGGACAATCGCTCCAAAAGAAAATAAAAAATAGTGACAAATGACTTTGCTGTACAATTTTTCGAGTTTTCCGTGACATGTGTTGTTAGTCATTTGTGGGTCTGTCCATTTTGCATTTAATCATTATCAAACAAAATACAAAAAATATGTATGCATTTCTAGGTTGTAATTTAACCATTTAAAAGTTTTTATATATATATGTGTGTGAATAATTGTGTTAAGTATTGATTAATGGATATTTCAAATTCATTTTTAATTTAGTTGTATTTCAAAAATTAGAAAACAAAATAAAAAAAAAG